AATAACACCAACAACAATGCAAATCGAATAGCAAAACAAAAACTAATATTGTTGAAATTTATAATTTTCAGGTATTATCCAATCGTATGCTTTGAATAGCAGGTTAGCAACTGAAAGCACCACATATGAATTAAAAAAAGAAAAGAACACCCCCACACACCGAAAATTTGTTGAATTGTGCTGCCCATGTGAATAGATCCTATACAAGGTCTGTGACATAAGCAGCACAATTCAATAAATTTACCCAGATTGATTAAAAACCTTTCTTGCCTCTTTTTAAAAAAATGCTAGTTCAGATGTTGACTCAGAACATGTATTAGCAATCTTTTGTGGTTCAGTTATAGATTTATTTTCCTATTTTTGTATAGTGATTCTTTTGTCTATCCTCTAGGTACAAAGTTTCAGCTTATTGATAAATTTCAAATTCTGGTGATTTAACCAAGAACAACTTGTCCGTTTTTGACAAGAAGCAGTCTCTGTAAAACTGTCATATTGACAATCCTGTGAATTTCAAACCAAATGTAATAAAAATAGGATAAGCCCAAATAACATAAGTTAACGATCAAGCTCTGTAATTATATATCCAGCACCATTAGTGGTCACTTTGGACTAGGAGTCACTTATTAACCAATACCTATCTCAGATCACCCTGCATTGTCCTGCTGACAAGTACACTGTAACTTGAAAGTTGGCAGGGAAACTAGAGGTAAATGAAGAGGGTTTACTAATTTTTTTTCTCAGATGGTTTTTGGTAATTGGTTGGTTTTTGGTAGTTTACATCTGCTCCCATTCTCAGTCTCCATAGCTCTTTTGGTGATAAGCTTTGGTATGCAGATCTCAACTTCATATCACTTGTAGCAGCTAACCTACCTCCTCAAGTCCTTCCTTTGTTGCCTTTATTAAACATAGCCCTCATCCTTTATTACTTCATTGTTCAGTTTGTACTAGTATAACATACTCCAGAACTGCTTAACCCTGCTTAAAAGGGAAAATTTGAACCATTTATTTGTAAGTGTAGTTCTGTGGAACAGGGATCTCTAGTCGTGCCTCTTTCAGATTCCAGGGAGGGGGACTAGAATAGGTGGTGGCATCATAGCTGCCTTTCAGCTTGGAACACACTGACTTGGGAAATTAGCCATCTGGACATTCCAGACCTCAGATAAAGGGAGTGGAGGACAGAGATTTGGCAGGCTTATGTTGCTATTTATGACAGATAGCTAGTGTTTCCCTCCTAAACCCCAAGAACCCATATGAAAAACATTGGCAATATGCTGCTTAAGAAATCATTGCTGCTAGGTTCAGTTTATTTTCTAGTAATGCTTGTAGGTCAATTACATAAATAAACACACATTCTTGACAATTTCATATCAGTGTAGCTTGAACTGAGTGTACAGTAATGGAATATACAAGCTATAAATTATGAACCAATGTGGTAGTCCAAATCTTAGCGTGTGAAATGATGAAAGGAACAAGAGGGAATAAAAGGAATGTGGACAGGGTCTTCTTACAACCTGTGAAAGAGCATAGCATGAGTCCCAATAAAAATAGGGGGTAATAGCTTCACCATATACTTCTAATATAGTAGGAGTTAAACACTAATAAGCTTTTTATTAGTTAGTAATCCATTAACACCAGAAGTCTTTCTCAAATTTATAGATAATATTATTTGCATGATGTTTTGTTTTGCTTTGGAAGAGAAAGAGATTAAAATGAGATTGGGGATTTGATTCTGTAATAGCTGTGGGATTTCAATCAGAAAAAGAGTTTATTATCTAACATGAAAAATTAATCTATGCAGTATAGAATAAATTTCAGTGAGGTGTCCAATGCACTTTCTCTGATCAATTCCCTCTTGTATAGTCTGAGAATGTGGATAAATGTGGTTAACCCCACTACATCACTGCCTGTGGCCTGTCATGATTAGCTTGATCTAGCCCAATGGAACTGGCTGGGGAGTATGAGACATCTTCTCTATTGAACAAAGAAGATTCTTATCCCAATCCCTTTAAGATTTTGAGGGGGTATTGCCCAAGCTGAATGTTGTATGCTGTTGTTCTTTGTTCCTCCTAAATTTCTACTGGGATGAAAGTCTGATATCCAGTCCCTCAGGAAATCCAGAAGGAATTATTTTACGTTCCTCTCTTTTGTGAACCAGGAGTGTTTGAGCATAACATTGCCGTATTTAGTGGCAATGCTGTAAAGCTCAACAGTTCTGGAAATAACAGAATGAAACAAATTCTGAAAGTTGAATTTCCTTTCCAACCTGCCATCTTTCTATTAAATATCAGTAAACCTACAAAGTATACTGAATTAGCCTTGTCAGTGGTAAGTGCTGCAAGGTTACTTTATGCTTTTCACTGGAAAGTATGTACATTCCCTTTGTAGAAGAATAGCAAATCAAGTTGTGGGAGTACATCTTGATATGTAAAACAATGTATTTAAAAAGCATAACTGACTCAGAATTTAACTTAACATGAAACCCATGGTCTTATACTACACTGAAGTCTGGTTTCTCTTAATATAAAGTTTTAATAGTTAAATCCTCAACAACTAGTCAGAAATTATTGTAACTTCCTATTTTGTTTCACACTGATTACTGTTGTTGATTACTGTTGCTAATACTTGTATACTAATTTGATTTTAATAATATGCAGTTTTTAATATGTAAGAGATTTAGCTATGTAAGACCAAACTAAGGCTATACTGGACTCTTACCTAATATATTCATTTTTCTTCATTTTCATGAACTTTGTAAATTTCTTGTTCATTATGTATTTTCTTTTTTCATTTTTTCCTTATTCTTTTCTTGTTTGCCTTTTTTTGTTTTAAAATGTTTAATAAAAATAGAATGAAGCGTTGCACATAAAAGTTGACTCACTGCTGCAGCGTGTGCGTGCATTCTCTCTCACACACTCCCTGCCCTTCCCAAGGTACAAACTCTAGGCTTCTCTGTTGTGGAGGAAGATACTGGTTTGGGAGCCTTGGGCAGTGGAAATCCATATATATATAATAACAATCTCTAGCTCTGGTAGAGGCATTATGAGTGAGCAGGTTTCAGGTCCCTGAATTGTCTACCTTAGTTGCACTTCCTTTAAAGAAAAAAAAAAATCAAGTGCTCCTGTATTCATCATAGTTATTGGAGGCCCAGATTATCTCTGTGGCCTCTCTTTTTGAATAGCTGAGACTGCTGTTATCTCCCCAAGTAGCAGTATTTTTACTGAGATTAAAAAAAAAAAAAAGCCTGTGGTCCTTTCTGATTCAAAATTATGGCATAGAAAAATATTACTGACACATTTGGCAATTTTATAGTGATTTTTTTTTTAAAGAACTGTAACAGTCCAGGAGATATTAAGCATATTGGAAACTGCCTAGAAAGACAAATTCTTCCAACCCTTTTCCCTTTTTATACATAGTTGCATTCTAGTTCTGTAAATCAAACTGGTTGTATTATTCTTCTCTTCCTCCTTCTTCAAATACTGCTGTAGAACCATTTTTAATAGATGTCAATATATGGTAGTTTGTTATATAGGGATTATTCATAAATATGTCTTTCTGTGCACCATTTTCAAACAAGGAATTGTTTCCAGTAAATTTCCCAACTTGGAAATGGTCATGGGAATTGGACTTGCTAGATAATCTTTAAATTGAGCAGTTGTAGCTTCTTTTCCATATGGTGTTCATATATGAGAGAAAAAACATTCTTTTGTTGATCAGCAGATTTTCCTAACTCTTTTAGTGTGGACAAAATAGATTTAGTTTCATTTGGGCATATAGAACCCAAAAGGACAAAGAATTAGGAAAATCTTTTAATCAAAGTTCACCAGTAGTAGTGCATTTTTTCAGCATTACCATTAACAGTGGTAGGAGCGCATCTTTTTCTTTTCTTGCAGGTTGTTTTGTATCTGTGCTTCCATTATTTTTGTGGGATTGTTGCAAGTGAAACAAAAGTAATTGGGTTTCTATTCTGGTCACTATTTTGCCTTCTTTAAAATACTCAAAATTAGTCTTACTGTCCATCATAATAAATAAATAATGAAGAACTTAGAGAATAATCCTGGGACGTAGCGTTTCTTTTCAAGCAGAGTGCGGAAAATATACACTAAAAATCATTTGGCTCAGAAAACTGGTTAATTTAAGGAAAAGCCATAATATTAGTTCTAAGGATCTGCCAAGCTATATGTTTCTTCTTTTTTTAAAATCTATGATAGCTTTTAACAACAATAATATCTTGAAGTTGAGGAATCAGAAATCAGAAAGGAAATCGGAAAGGAAGACAGCGATTTAAGGTTCTCTGCTAAATATCAGTAATTTGCTTCCCAAGTTCACCCTTCTTTCTTAAATGAATAGGATTATCAAAATGTCTTTGTAGATATAACCTATCACAAAATGTTCTGGGCAAACTATAATGATTTTAATTACTTAATTAAATGTATAATATTTAGGAGGAGCATTGCTTTGGTGATGTAGAATAAATCAGTCTACATTCATGCTACAATAATACCTGAAAAGAGTCCAGTTGTAATTAATTGTTAGATTTTTAGGTTCTATTTTTATTCTTATTCTTATTATTGCCCTGTAGGGTACTCCAATTAAAGAGGTCTCACCGAATATAGTGGGAAGGTTGCTAAGTTTGATATCATGATGTGGGCGGGCCACAGACATTGAACATTTGCTATTATCACAGTGTTGGCTATTAGTTGGTGGCAGGTAATGGGTTAAATTCCTCTGGGTACTAAAACATCCGATAGAGGTCAGAGATGGAGTAGCAGAGATGGAACACCTGATGACTGGGATTGCTTGGTTAGTGGCCCAGATTCCTGTCTCTCTCTCTCTGCCCTGCTTATCTTCTATCACAGAGAGACTTTCCTTTTGAGTCTCTGCTATTACTGTTTGGCAGAGTAGATTGTCATTCTGAAAGGCTGAATGACCTTCTTATTCCCCATTGTTTTCTCTGTGGAGATGTGTTTTTTTGTATTCCCATTTGGCCACAGAGAAGCCACTGCACAGTACATTCCCAGAACGAACAGGCAGGCACATGAGCATTAAAAAAAAAAAAAATCTGCAGTGATTGTGGCTGAACTGAAAGGAAAAAAGTCCTCCTCCTCTCCTCTTTCCTTCTTGTAGCCAAATGCTACCATTCAGATCAGCACAAGCTGTCGAATCAACAGCATGGCTGCCAACAGCAGCAGAGGTAAGAGAGGGAACATAGCGGATGAGTTAGTGAAAGCAGCAGCAGAACAAGAACTAAAGCATCTTCCGAGAAAGCCTCTCCAGCATTTGTATAGTCTGTTTCCTTCTCATGTAGATACACATTTGTTTCTCTTAGGCAAAGAGACAAATGGGGAGATGGTGGCAGGAAAATGTGCAGCAGCAGGAAGAATGGAGGGATCTGCCGCTAAAAGGGAAACCAAAGCTGCTTTTGATGCCAAAGACAAAAAGCTCAGGATGCAAAAGCATCTGTTCTTCCCCGCTTTAAGGTTTTTAACAGTGATAGGTGGAAGTGGGGAGCGGCGGATAAACAAGGAATCAGGCCTTCACTGCTGACTTCAGGCAACCACAAAGCCTTGAAATTGAAGGATCTGACAAATCAAGCTAGCAGAACTTGGGCTGTGACTTCCTAAGATTATGCAGGACTGAAGAGGGGTGGTGGCTCGATTAAACTGACTTGGTTTCTTTCTGTTTCTATTCACAGCTGTCCCTCCAAAACTCAAGAAACTAAAGAGCCTAAATGTAGAAGTTGGAGCAAAGGTTTCTTTGAAATGTGAGGCAAGCGCTGGAAACCCCCAGCCGTCCTACAAATGGTTCAAAGATGGCAAAGAAATGAAAAAGAGCAAAGATATCAGAATAAAATATGGGAATGGAAAGTAAGTAAAACAGGTGCTTTTCTCATCCTAAAAATGTTAAAAAATGTGTTATAGCTAAACATTCTTAATCCATAGTTGGTATAGTTGTCATAAAAATGACTGATTAGGAATAGTTGATTTCTAAATAAAGCGATGCTTATAACATTTAGTCCTAAATAGCTTTGGTTCTTGTTTGTGAGTGAGATCCGTTCATAAGATTCTTAGAGGACTTGTTATTCATTTCAGTGTTTCAAGGTGCAGGTTGGACTCAAAGGAAGGAGACATTTATCTTAGCCAGCCTTCTCCAGCCTGGTGCCCTTCAGATATTAACTGGAGGGCACCAGGTTGCGGGAGGCTGTTCTAAGCTACGACTTGTGTTACAAAATGGGAAATCCAACAGTTTCTCTTCATAGATGATCTAGAGCAGAATTCTAGAGAATTCTGGGAGTTGAAGTCCACACAAGCTTTAAGTTGCTGAGGTTGGGAAGTACTGTTCTGAAGCAAGAAAGCACAACTATTTTTGCTGCAGTGTGAAAAAAAAATTGTTTAATCATATTCAGTTAAAAGGAAAGGCAGATGACCAATTATTTATTAGCATTCGGAGTGAGCAAAGCTGGCATGCTCCCCCTCAAGGGGTCCTCTGGATGGGAGAGGCAATGTGCTCTGCCTTAACGCTTGGCGTGATGGAGATGGAGCCAGATGGCCTCAGCTGGCATCTGTCTGGCTTTTGCCCAGGCCTAGAAGTCACTTGGGTCATTTGGGGCAAATAGTGTGGCTTAGAACTAGAGGCCATTTTGCTTCCTGTTTTTGCTTTGAAGGGGTGTTTTTTGAAGCTTCGTTGAACTCAGGCATCCTCTCACTTTTTAATGGCATTTACTATTCTTTCTTGGTACACAATGCCAAAGAATTAAATTCCTCATAATGTTCTGATTAATACCAGTGTGGAACATGGAGTTCTCTATTGATTGGCTTCTCAGATCACAGCAAGGCCATTATATGTCAGCAAAAGTTATCAAGAAACAAGGCCAGCGGGCTCCCTAACACCAGATCAGGCACAGAGTGGAGGGGGTTCCATGGATGTCCGCACATTGTGCGTTTCTTTGCTTCATGAAGTCAACATTTGACTACAGTTCAAGTGAGTTCATGGGTCAAATTAGGTGGCAGAGGATTGCACTGAATATGGTTCAAGATGCCAGCTTTAACATGGGGTCTGGCCCAAAGTGGGTTTTGTGCTTCCAATGGAAAAACCACAAATTGCTTTAACTTTTTTTTTTTTTTAATCAACAGAATAGGATGAAACATGCAGGGATAATAGACATTTCAGAAGGAATGAAAATGTCCAGTTTCGGGAAAATGATGTAGATGGTTTTGCCTTCTGGACTTTTCTTTTCTTTTAAAAAATGTAATTTTGTCATTTACTTCTGTATGTAGATAAAAATTATATACATTATTATCTTTTAGATAGATCTGAAACTGGCAAATTAAAAAAATATATATATGAGTAGGATTTTGGATGGTTTTAGACAGAATTAAAGGTCCTTTTTCTACAAAGAACAGTATTTAAGCATATGCTTTAATTTGGATCTGGTTCATAAAATCTTCCAGTGATTTTCTACAGAAATTTGGAATTAATAAATGCATGGCAGCTGATATGCAGGGTCTTTTGAGCATTTTTCTCGTAGGGAAAGGACTTCTTACAAGGAGTGTGCTTGGAAAGCTTCTGAGGGACTGTCCCTTGTGATTAGAGGGTAGACCCGTCACATATTTTTGCTCCCATGATCCCTGTTCTCCCCCATCCTGGTTTTTTTTTTTGGAAAAATTTAAATAATGTCTCAATATTTGCCGTTTTTCAGTGCTCCAAAATGTCAGATTATTCAAAGCTCCCTGTTCAGTGTAGATACTCTGTTTCCAGCCTTTTTCTTAATGTGGGCCACGGCTTCATCATCAAAAGCTTTTGTAGACCACCATATAAGCCAGGGATGGATAATAGACTGCCCATAGGTACCATGACTGCTCCAGAAGATATCTTCAGGACCCTCCAAATTATTATTATTTTTTTTTACAAAGGCTAACATCCCATTAAATTTCTAAACTTCATGAGATGCCATTGTTATCATCTTGAACCTCATAAGGAAAAACTGAAATCTTGTGAGATTTGGTGATTTTTTTTAAGCTTTCATCTATTTTTAAGTCTATCTACCAAGATAAGTATGCTGCTTTGAGTCTCTGGACCAAATCTGAGATGCAAATGAAATGGATATCCACTATCCTTTCTGTTCAACATTGGAATTTTTTTCTCTTCATTTAAATGATATTTGATTATGGGCAAAAAAAGATTTGTCTGATTGTTTTTATCAGTGTTGTTATTAAAGTGAAAGCTGGTAAAATCTAGGAACACTTGAAAAGTTCAGTTTCTAGGACTTCAGTGATTTTTAAACTCTTCTACATGAATTTTAAAATTTCCATAATGAAATGCTGTTCAACTTATTTTAATTTCTGAGCAGAGGAGACGGATACATTTATAAACAGATGTGGAAATATTAATATTGTGTCCTTAAAAGAGATTATTTTCACTCATAGGACTGCTAATCAGAGTTCAAATATTCTATTTCTTACTGCCTTTCTGCCTTCCTCTTTTCCCCTGCTCCAAAACAGCATAGGTAATAGATTGATCCCCATGCTTTTCTCATTGTTTCTGGACTTGAAGTAGAGTTAACCTTGGCCTTCAAGTAACAAGTTTTGAATAAATTCAGAGTGAATATAAGGACGACATGGCAAGACAGGCTAATGGAGAAAAGGAGACTAAGATGGGTGAGAGTTTCTGAAACAGGAGATAGTAAAAGCAGAATTAAAAACAATTTCAGTGAGAAAAAAATGGAAACCAAAGCAGTTGGTGTTAGTTAGGTGCCATCCTTAAAAGAATAGGTGTTCTGCCACTGTTATGAACCTCAACACATTCCACATTCTAGCATGTGGAACACCATCAAAGGCTGTGTAATAAAAAATCAAAGATAATTCTCCTCTTCATATTCTCTTGTTCTCTCCAGTGTCCATCTTACGTTAGCTATCTAATTTTGTGCCCCTCTGCTGTTTCTGAATTTTGCATTTCTGTTTTCAGATAGATAGATAGATAGATAGATAGATAGATAGATAGATAGATAGATAGATAGATAGATCTGTATTATTTTTAAGATCTTAAACAAATGTTAACTTTTGGTTGGTTAAATTTTGAGGAATTTGTGCAATTATTTGGTAATTTGCATATTTTCCATATTTCCGTCCTTCACTATAGGTATATACAGTAGATCACAATTTTTTCCAATCTGTAAACTGTATAGTCTTGTTCCATATTTGTTGATATAGCACTTTAACTGCCTCTTCTCCTTGAGCTTTAAACCTTTCAGAGTTCAATGAATATTTCCTTTGCACTTGCTGCTTTGCTATTAGATAGCTGTTATTGTCTGTAGTACCTCACTTTCTAATGGACTTGGTCAATATAGCCTCTTCACAAATGTTTCTGTTATTCTGTAATCCCATTTTAAAGGATTTCGATATAGTATTTCCATCTTTGTTTACCCTCATTTCTCTATATTAGATCTTGCCAATGATTACTTTTGATTACTGCTCCCTTAAATTGTTAGTTGTCTTGTGATTTCTCCAATCCTCTTTTAGGAAATCTCTCATTTTCCTTTCTTTGTTATTTTCTTTTTTTAATAGTAATTTTATTAAAAATTACAACTACAACAATCAGAATTAATACAAACTAAAAAAATAAAAGAATAAAAAACAGAAAGTCCATACAAGAAAATAGAAAAAAAACAGAAAAGAAAGAAAAAATAAGTATACTAAAGAAAAAGAAATATATAAAGAAATTACTTCCCCCTTCATCACAACAATTATAAACAAGTATAAATAATTTTAGTAACTTATCACCTTCTTTTAAAGTATAACAAATGATTTCTTCTTCCCATATCCAATCTCTTATCTATAAACAAATCCTTAAAATCTCATCATTTCAGTCCTGATCAGCAAAAGTCCATTAAGGTTACCAGAGATAACAACATAGCTATTTTAATCTTGATCAAATAAACCAACTTTATATTCCTTCCTTCTACTTTTAACAATCTTGATCTTTAGTCCCTTCAAATAATGTTCTAAAACTTTATTTCTTTTCATTTTTTCTTTATCCCTTCTCACAAAATTCTTCAAAGCTTTATCAAACCTCTTTTGTAAATCCAATATAGGAAAATTATCCAGGTCACTCTCTTGGTTTATTTGTATATCCCTTTTAATTATTAAGACATCAGCCAGATTATTTTGTATGTCCACCGTAACATCTTTTTCCACATCATTCTTGTAGCTTATCATTTTTAAATCCACTTTCAGATCACTCTCAGTCTTGTCCAGTAAAACTTGTTCCTTTCCTTAGCATCTTTTAAACTCAGTCTATAGAGGCAGAGACTCTTAAAATTAACTCCTGGGTCCATTATTCAAAAATATCCTTCAATATAACCCTTTTGTCATTATTTTCCTATATTTTCTTGAGATTCTTGATTGAGGTATCTGTCCTTGTCCCTCTGCACTTGATACCGAAAGTTTGCATTCAGTTATCATATGTTCTTCTTTGAGCTTTGTTTGAGGGACTGTCTATCTTCCATGGTGTCTGCTGGGCCAATATGAGTTGACAGGATTGGCATGCTTTAGGTCCCTTCAATTAAACAGTGGCATCTTTCAGCACCTGCCCTCTGGAATGAAGTTCTCCCTAAAATCCAGGTGGCTCACACCCTGATAGCATTCTGGAGGGTCTTGAAGCATGGTTGTTCCCCCGTGCCTTGGGCTAAGGTGGCTGGAGCCCTGTATTCACCATCTTGGTTTTTACCTGCTATTCCTTATTTGTTTTGGAATTGTACTGTATTTTATTTTCTTTGTTATATTGAGAGCTGCCCAGAATCATTTGGAGTAGGGCAGCACCTAAATTAAATTAAATTAAATTAAATTAAATTAAATTAAATTAAATTCTT